TCATAGTTCTTTATTTCTGATATTTTCTGTAAGGTGAGACATTGTTCTTATATCCTTTAGTTCTTTAGACATGGTTTCCTTTAGCACTATAGTGTTTTTCTTGACTAAATGTTCTCTCCATTGCTAAAAGCCTTTAGTTAGTTTGCAGAGTTCTGAAAAAGTTGATTCAGATAATTTTTGCTGGCTTTTTCTTTGCTTTTGTGGAGGGACAAATAGCCTACTGATGTTACTTTTCATTCTTGTATGGTATGTATACTCAGAGACCAAAGTACACCTGTGCCAACTGTGTTTATAAACAAATTACACTGCTCTACATTCATTTCAAGAATATTGATAGTAAAAGTTTATAGTTATGCTTTATTAATTACATAAATGACCAAAATTTAAAGCTTTTTTCTTTCAGTCATTTCCCTTGTAATGTAATGGGTAGCAGGACACCATTGTTAAGTTGTTAATCATTACTAAACAGATATTTAGACATTAAGTAACTTTGTATTTTTTAGTAACTTTCTCACACTAAGCATCATAAAGACATACTGGATTTTATGAGACTTAATGAGTGGTTCTTCCTGTTCAACTATCTGTTTTTTGGTTTTGTTTTTTGAAAGCTTAGCCCATTTTTCCTTCAGTATTATTACATTTTTGCTTCCTTGGACACTTAAGTACTTCAGGTCCCAGATTCTAGAAGACTTTGCCTTCCCAATTCTGCACACCTATCCATCATCTGTCTTTTTTTTTTTTTCCTCAAAGCCCAAATTCTCTATTTTCTTCTTTCGATATCTCCTTTCTCTCCTTTGTCATTAATCTCTTCCATGCTAATGTATCATTTCTCATCAGGAAATAAATGTACTCCAGCATTGTCTATCTTAAGAAAAAATGCCAACCACTCTACTTTATCCCTTACGTACCATTCTAACTATCCTATTTCATGAAAAGTACCCATGTATGCTGTCAGAAATTTCTGTTTTTAAATCATTTACTTAAGTTATGAAACATAACTGTCAGATTAAGCAGATACTAGCATTTTGCTATAGTTGCTACAGTTTGCTCATTGGTGTGTTCTTTCCTTTACCTCCCCCAGAGAAACCTCCCTTGAAATTGCTATGAATCATTCTCATTCTCATTCCTGTACATTTCTCTAAACATCTTTTTCTATAAACAAAATATGCTGCTGTAATGTATGCTGGCAATTTATAGTAATATAAGTTGTATTCTATACACATTCTTTTTCAGCTTGCTTTTAAAAAAAATATAATTGCTTTTGTGATTTATCAGTGTTGATAGATAAAGACCTAATTTATTCTGTTTAACTGCATTGTGGTATTCTGTTATTTCTTACTGCGAGACACATAAAACTGTTTCCTCTTTTTCATTATTAAAAACACTGCAACAATGAATGTCCTTGTACTTGATTTCTACTGCACATAAGCAAGAGTTCCTCTAGGGTAGTCATGTCAAGTGGAATTTCTGGCTTGTGTAGTATATTGTTTTTCAGTTTTATTAATTATTGCCAAATTGATTTCCAGAGTAGCTGTGCCAATTTATACTTCTACCTGCAGGAAATACTTCTTCCTTCACTGCATTCTTGCAAAATCCTAGTTTTATCAGAATTAATAATTGTTGCCAGTTTGATGGTTGTGAAATGGTTTTTCTCTGTTTTCATTGGCCTTTCAATGATTACAAATGGTGTTGCATACATTTCCTATGTTTATTGGCCTTTTGGGTTTCTTCCTGTGTGAATTGCCATTTTAAATCCTTTACTCATTTTTCTGTTGAGTTCTTTTGTCTTTTTGTAATTTATTTATAAAAGTTTTTTATATATCCTGGCTATCTAATCCTTTATTGATTAAGAAGAAGGCAAATATCATATTGCTTTTATTGTCTTCTGTCATTTTGAGTAGTTTTTATTTGTGAGAGAATGTATCTTTTAAAATTTAGGTGCTTCTTTTTATATGTCTTGTTTAAGAAAGCCTTCCCTACTCAAGATCATAAAAATAATCATGTGGAAGGACAGGAAGATGGCATTTTTGGAGTGCTTAGACTGTTTTATTACCTGGCTTGACTGGTGATTATGTGGATATTTATATTCAAAATTCTACACATTTTTAATAGTTTGTTATATGTATCAGAGCTTATAACAAAATAATGTCTTAAAATGAAAACATCTATATTTCTTCTGAAAGTTTTTGATTTTTAACTTTTTATATTTGTGTACTTATATACACATGATATGATATGAACATGATTGTAGTTTCATTTTTTCAACATATATAACCAGTTATATCCCAACCACCATTTATTAAGTAGTTCATTCTTTCTCTATAAATTTATAATATATCTCTTTTATGCACCAAGCTGCCACATATGTGGTCCATTTCTAGATATACTTTTCTGTTCTATTTGTTAAATCTTGAATACCACATTGTTTTTATTCACTATAGCTTTCTTCCTAGTTTTCCAAAAGCGCTTGGCTATTCTTGACCTTTTACTCTTTCTAAATGAATTTTATTTTTATTTTTATTTTTTTTGAGACAGAGTCTCACTCTGTTGCCCAGGCTAGAGTGCTATGGCACCAGCATAGCTCACAGCAACCTCAAACTCCTGGGCTCAAACATTCCTTCTGCCTCAGCCTCCCGAGTAGCTGGGACTACAGGCATGTGCCACCATGCCCAGCTAATTTTTTCTATATATTTTTAGCTGTCCAATTAACTTCTTTCTATGTTTTGGTAGAGATGGGGGTCTCACTCTTGCTCAGGCTGGTCTCGAACTCCTGAGCTCAAACGATCCACCCACCTCGGCCTCCTAGAGTGCTAGGATTACAGGCGTGAGCCACCGCGCCTGACCTCTAAATGAATTTTAGAGTTCCATGTGTAATACTCATGTGGGGTTTTAATTAGAATTGTGTTGAATTTGTAAGTCAGTTTTGGAGAAATATATATATTTTTAGGCCTTTAACCACTTCGGTACCGGCGTTGACTATAGTTGGTAGCCACAGATGAACGCACTCAGCGACTTTAGCTGATAGCCATGATATAAAGGCGCACAGCTGAGCGTCGACTTTAGTGTTGATAACAAAACTTGACTTTTCTAATTTTTCATTTATCAAAATAAAATTGTGAACATTTAAAAATAACATAATAAAAACATATATGTATATGTTACTATTCTGATTTACATTACAAGTAAAGCTACCTGTAAAGTAAAACACGATTTCAGTGCTTTAAAGCTTTCCTCATCACACAAGAGCAAAACAGATTCATCGTCAATGCACAGCACAAACTATCGTGGGGACTATGAGTGCTGGCTGTGGGCAAGGTTTCCCAGCCGGTGAACGCCGTACGGAAGTGGTTAAGTCTCTTGTTAATCTCATTTACAGTGAGAGTAGTCATCATTGTTATTGTTAGTCTTGGTTAATATTCTATGCACATCTGATCGTAAATTTACTTTATTCCGATACTTTAATGATTTTCTTGCCTAAGAAAAAGGATATCTCACAAAGAAACATAATTCCAAAATGGAAGAATTACATTATAGGTGGCATCTACTAAATCAAAATTATTACCTTTTCAATATTATTTACTAATTAACACATTGACTACCACACTAGAAAAAAGTTTTTTCCTAGGGGCTGTGGTGTTTTATCACGAAAATAGAATAAAAACTTCAAAAATAAAACAATCCAGGCCGGGCGCTGTGGCTCACGCCTGTAATCCTAGCTCTTGGGAGGCCGAGGCGGGCGGATTGCTCAAGGTCAGGAGTTCAAAACCAGCCTGAGCAAGAGCGAGACCCCGTCTCTACTATAAATAGAAAGAAATCAATTGGCCAACTGATATATATATAAAAAATTAGCCGGGCATGGTGGCACATGCCTGTAGTCCCAGCTACCAGGGAGGCTGAGGCAGAAGGATCGCTCGAGCCCAGGAGTTTGAGGTTGCTGTGAGCTAGGCTGATGCCACGGCACTCACTCTAGCCTGGGCAACAAAAGCGAGACTCTGTCTCAAAAAAAAAAAAAAAAAAAAAAAAAATAAAACAATCCTTTCTAATTTAATAAACAATTTGTTATCTTTTATTGTTTTCTCTGTGTGAGTTATATGCAATTAAATTGTCAATATTATTGTAACAATAAGAACATCAACAAGTGAGGTTCTCATGAACCAACTGCAGGGTTTTGCCCACTTATTTAAATTTTTGTGTCATATATTTCTTAGGACCTAATATTTTGATTATGATAAAGTTGATGGTGGTTGTGGCTTGATGATGGATTCCTGGTTGTTTATTGTACTATTCTCTCTTTTGTTTGTGTTTGAAAAGTTCCATAATAATAAGTTTAAAAAAATTCTTGCTACCACACAATGAAGGAAAACAGGAAGGGAGTATCACGCTCTCTGGTGAGGCTTCTCTCTTTTATCAGATACAAATATCTTTTCTAGAACTGTCCCAGTAGACGGATATCTCATTGGCTTGACTGAGTCACAGGATTCTTGTCCCACCCCACTTCTCACCTCAACACACCTTTGTTTATTTGCCTTCAGGAATATCAAAGCTAAATTTGTAAATAGAGAATCCTGGGGCTTATAAAACATCCTTTCTTCTTGATGTTTTTCTTAAATCATTTATATGCTCCTTGTTACTGATTTTTGTGTATTTAATTTTTTAATTTTAGCTTGTGTGTATTTTTGTAATCTGCCTCAGGTGTTTGGGGGAATAAAATAAGTGGTTATATCAAGAAAAACATGTAGGTGATTGAGTTTTATTTCTGGCATCTTTTTTCCCTTTCACCTAATGAGTTGTAACGTTCTTACAAATAAGAAATTTTAGAACTGTAAAATGGATTAGTAAAAGGTTTTTGAATATTGATATCCTAAAAGTAATATTTTATGTTGAGAAATACATTTAATTTACAGTTATTAAAATGAAGCATTATTTTCTTCTGAAAATGTTACTTTCAGCTTTAATTTCTTGTTCAATAGTAGTAACAATGCCATATTTTTTTTTTCAAGATACGGAATATATGAACGCTGCCGAGAGTTGGTGGAAGCAGGATATGATGTACGGCAACCAGACAAAGAAAATGTTACGCTCCTTCATTGGGCTGCCATCAATAACAGAATAGATTTAGTCAAGTATGTTTTTCTGTATTTTTAATTAGTAGTTGGTTTTACTATTAATATTGTTATAAAATTTTTGGAAGTAGTTGTCATAAAAACAAATTTCTAAAATTTGTGACTTTTAAAATGTAGATTTTATGTACCTTTTTCCCTGAAAACATTGCTTTTAACAATTTACTGTATTGACTGCTTTTTCATGTATATTTCCTTTAATCTTCTTGAAATAACCCTATGTGAAATATAACAATCACGACCATCCTACTGATGAGGAAACTGAGGCACAGAGAGCCTCAGTTAAATGTGCTACCCAATGACACACAGCTAATAAAGGTTGGAGTCGGGGCTTGAACTCAGGCAGTCTGACCTGGTATTCCCATTCTAAATATGGATTCTGTGGGAAAAAGCAGCAAAAGGAAAGGAGTTGAAATGACAATAGGTAATAATAATCTGATTTAATTATTCACACCAGCATAAGTGATGAATACTTTATATACTAAGTGTAAACAGGTGGTTAAGAGTCAGGATGATAAGAAATCTTTCTTAGTAAGTCTTGTTTAGTAATTTTCAACATTTTGGACATAAAATCTTTAAATAAAGATATGAATCTAAAGTGAACTGCTTGCAGATGTGTTGATAAGTACAGCACAGATTCTAGAGGCAAATAGTATATTAATGCCAGGTAAAAGAGTTTGCCCTTAGGGTATTAAGCAAAGATTAAGCAAGTAATAACTAAAGCATTCAGTTCTGTGAATCACTTTCTTCCAGAGAGTGTATTTCCATTTTCTTTGCTCTTCGTTTTCTTCTTGTAATCTTTTTTTTTTTTTTAAGCCTCTAAACATTTGGCATCTTCTTGTAATCTTAACCTTCCCTCTGCCTTGAGTATGAGTCGCTTGATATCTAATTCTGTGTTGGTCCAAAAATGTTTTTATTTCATCTTTGTGAAGGAGATTTTCATGTGGCACAGAAGTCTCCATTGGCAGTTTTTGTTAGTTTTATTTTTGCTTTTTACCCATTGAAAAGATTATTTCACTGTTTTCTGGCTTCTGTCACAGTTGAGAAATTGTCTTAAGTATCACACTTCTGAAGGCTTTTTTTTTTTTTTTCTGACTGCTTTTAAGATTTTTCTGTTTCTGGTTTTCTGCAGTTTCACAATGATATATTCAGGTGTGGATTTCTTTTTATTTACCCTGAATGAGATTGTAAGGAATTCTTGATTCTTTGGATTGATGTTTTCATCAGTTCTGGAAAAATTTTAGCTGTTGTTTCTTCAAATATTGCTTTTGCCCCATTCTCTTGCTCTCCTTCTGGAATGCCAGTTAAACGTATGTTAGATCTTTTCATCATATCCCCATGTCTCTTACCCTTTCTTCTGTATGTTCTATCCTTTTGTCTCTGTTTCATTTGGGAATTTCTTTTGATCTATTTTCCAGGTCATTTACTCTCTTCTTCTGTATAATCTGCTGTTAAATTCATTCATTGTATTCTTAAGTTTTAAAATTTTATTTTTCAGCTTTAGAATATTTATTTTTTTCAAATTACTTAAACCATTAGCTGCTGAAAATTTCGATCTTGTCTTACATACTTGAATGTAGTAAATATAGTTATTTTATGATCTGTGGTTAAGAATATAGCATCTGAAGTCTCTGTAGGTCTGTTTATGTTATTCCTTCATGTGCCTGATTATCTTTTAATTGTATTAGAAAAATTATTTGTTGAATAATTTGAGGCCTAAGTTGCAAAGATTCCCATTTTTTTTTTGGCAAGCCCAACTTAATTTCAAGGCTTTAGATTTTCCAGATCACGAAGCTGGCTGAAGACCATGCTAGAGCCAAGTTTACTTCTGGTTCTTCCTTATTCCTATAATGCAGCTTTTGGGGATCCCAGCCCTTATTTTTGCTTTTATCTGCTTAGCTTTCTTCCTGGCCACTCTTTTGTATCAGCATATTGTTTCTAGGGCAAATTGTATGTGAGTGTTTTTCTAACTTCTTCAAGTTTTAGGCATCTCCTGAATCTTGGTCAGGTAATGCTCTTAAGGCTTTGCTTTATTTTTCTTTAATGGGAGAGTTGGTCCAAATTCTCTATTCTTTTAATCAAAATAGTATGTAAACAATTAGAAAAATCAAGAAGTGCTTAGAGGCATACAGTACCTTAATATTTCCCCATTCCTTGGTCCTGTATCCCAGAAGTAACTATTTTCAATACTTAGCTGTTTCTTTCAGTAGTCACACTTATATGTTTATATTGCTACTTTTATAAAGTTATTTTCTTTACACAAATGATAGCAAATACTTTTCTACCATTTTATTTAAGTTATATATCTTCAAGATTTTTCGTATCAGTACAAACAGAGCTGCCTCATTTTTTAAAAAATATCCATATAACATTCAGTTATATGGAGGTACCTGAATTTATTTAGTGGTTTCCTTATTGATGGACATTTGATTGATTCTGGTATTTTTGCTATGACAGTGCTGTAATTAATATCATGTTCACGTATCATGTTCATTTATATCTGCAGAATTCTTAGAAGCAACAAAAGACATGAATTTTTAGTTTTAATAAATATTGCCAAGTTTTATGCTGTTGCTTCTTGATTTATCGATTTTTAACATTATATTTGTTTTTATATCTTGGGATAACCAGATGTCCTAGACTGCCTCACCACTAATACTTTTTCTTTTATCCACTAGTATAGTTTTAGTTAAATCACTATACCATATTTAAATTGTTATGAGTATGTTAGTATTATGCACTGCTAAGCCCAAAAGAGTTCTGTGATTATCTGTCCTTTTCTGTAGACCTTTTGATTTTGTCTGAAGTAACAATCATTTTGTTTTGTCTTTTCATTTATTTAATTTTCAACGTATTGTCACTAATTCTTCCCATATTCTTAGAACCATAAAAACCCTCTGTATGCAAATGGGATCAGATAATTTATCAGCTCTTTTTTGGTGGAGGAAGGGTATAAAATCATTGGATTTCTTTTTCTTTTTCTTTTTCATTTTTTGAGACAGAGTCTTACTCTGTTGCCCCAGCTAGAGTGCCATGGTGTCAGCCTAGCACACAGCAACCTCTAACTCCTGGGCTCAAGTGATCCTTCTGCCTCAGCCTCCCGAATAGCTGGGACTACACGCATGGGCCACCATGCCCGGCTAATTTTTTCCATATACTTTTAGTTGTCTAATTAATTTGTTTCCATTTTTAGTAGAGACGGGGTCTCTCTCTTGCTCAGGCTGGTTTTGAACTTCTGACCTTGAGCAATCCTCCCGCTTCAGCCTCCCAGAGTGCTAGGATTTAGGATTACAGGAGGGAGCCACTGCGCCTAGCCCATTGTTGGATTTCTTTACTTCTGTACTTCAGCCCAGACTTTTGCTCATCAGGGCTACTAAGCAACTATTACCTTGAAACTTTCCTTTGCCATCATCCTGGGAAATCCCTTTACTCCAGGATTGATCTCTGTTTCCCTAGATCTCAGGTTTTTGTCTCTATGGGTTTGTTCCCTGCTTTAGTAGAGTACACTTTGTGATAGATTTCTGAGACAGTACTTTGGAGGAAATGTTTTGAACTTAGTATCTCTTCTGCTCTCATACCTTATTGGTTGTTTGATCATAGAGTTTTAAATAAAAAATTGTTCCCTCAGAATTTTGAAGCATTATTGTATTATTTTCTTGCTTCAGCCGTCGAGATGTGTGATCTCTTTCTATTGATGAAAAAATTTATAGTTCTTTTTTTAAAAAAATAAAAATCTGAAGTAAAAAATACAAAATATCTGCCGGGTGCGGTGGCTCACGTCTGTAATCCTAGTACTCTGGGAGGCCGAGGAGGGCGGATCACTCAAGGTCAGGAGTTCGAAACCAGCCTGAGCAAGAGCGAGATCCCGTCTCTACTATTAATAGAAATAAATTAATTCGCCAACTGAAAATATATAGAAAAAATTAGCCGGGCATGGTGGTGCATTCGTGTAGTCCCAGCTACTCGGGAGGCTGAGGCAGAAGGATTGCTTAAGCCCAGGAATTTGAGGTTGCTGTGAGCTAGGCTGATGCCACAGCACTCTAGCCTGGGCAACAGAGTGAGACTATGTCTCAAAAAAAAAAAAAAAAATTACAAAATATCTTGAAACTGTCTATTGACTAGTGAGGTTATAGAATAAAACCAGTAAATTATAGAGTGGGTTAATAATCACAGTGTTACTGTGTATGTTACATCTTCAGGTGGGTGAACTTAATTCTTATAGTACATAGTTTAGCAAGTTACTGTGCTAAAACAGTATGGAGAAGTGTCTGTCCCAACAGTGACATTGTATCAGGATGTATCAACAGAACTTACTGTAAGCAAAGAGGTTGGTTCAGTTTTGTAATGATAAATGATAAAATATAAAGTAGGTATAATTTGGAGAGAAGACCTTCATCCTAGCTGGGATTAAGTTTATATTGCTAGTGTTTTCCAATGATAATCTTTTAATTATTTCTAAGCTTTTACCCTAATATAATAAAATAGAAGTGATTCGCTCAGGCCATTGTCTTCAGTAGTCTCCTATTCAGATTCTTCATCAACAACAGTTAATAATACTTGTGTCTGATTTCACTTTGATTCCAAGTCAAGGCTTTATTAAAGAATATGAGGCTTTATTAAAAAATATGGAGCTTATAATTTTCTGAGAACACATTATATGTATTGCTTATTCTTCTTTCTTGGGAACATTTAAGATCTTTTTCTTTACTCCTGACTTTGTGAAAGTTTACATTACTGTGCATTGGGGTGTGTGTGTGTGTGTGTGTGTGTGTGTGTGTGTGTGTGTGTAAATAGATGCAGTTCATGGGTATTTGGTGGCCAGTTTTAATCTGGAACTTTGCCTTATTAGTTCTAGGGAAGTATATTTTTATACTGTTCCCTCAATAGTGCCTTGCATTCATTTCTCTGTTTTTTTCTTTTAGGAACTCTTGTTTGTCAGATATTGGAACCAATGAGAGTGATTATCTCATTTCCTTAGCTTTTTTCCAACTATCTTTTATACCTCACTATAACCATTGTACTTTTGGGGAGAGTTTCTTAATTTATCTTATAATCCTAATCCTTCCTTTGAATTTCTAATTTTATCTATCACATTTTCAGTTTTCAAGCATTCATTGTTTTTTTTTTTTTTTAGAGAAATGCAACAGACTGGCTTAATAAAAGCATTCATTCTTAAACTATGTTTCTTTTTTTCTAATATTTCCATTTTTATATCATGGATATGTCATCTTTTAGTTCTTGGAGGATATTATAATTTTTTTAAGTTTTTCTTCTCTACATTCAGTTTGTTTATTTGGGGCTGCTTCTGTTTATTTTGGTCTCCTTCTATATTTGAAGCTTTCCTCAATTACCTGGTTATATTTGACCATTCACACTTAGGACACAAACATAACAAAGTTGATTGGAAGTTGTGGGACTTAGGTTCTCCTAAGGAACTCCTCTAGTGTCAGTTTCTGGAGGTTCTTCTCTGCGGCTGTTCAGTTTCTCTTAGAGAAGAATCCTCTAATCTTTTTGTGGGGAGGAGCTCAGTATCTGTCTGGCTGCCACCTAACCTGCGTAAGGAAAGGAGTCTGGGGTTCTTGTTCACGATGTACACTTTCATTAAATTACGTTTTGGCAGAGGCTGAATGGTTAAGTATTAACATCAACATGGGACTGAAACTGAAGTCAGAGATCACCATCATGCAGTGAAGTTTAGGGAGACAAATATCAATCTGGGCTTTAAAAGAAGAGTTCGAATTATAACTGCTATTCTGTCAAAAACTTGAATAGTCATTGAGATTTAATGAATGCTACAGTACACAAAGAATGCTTTTCTAAGCACTGTCAGCTGCTTGATTGCTTTCATGTCACTAAAATGCCTATTTGTGATGCTAAGTAAATACTTTCAGTGAGGAAATATGTTAGAAAACACAATTATTCAGCAACATATTTATATTGACTTTCAACTAGTGTTTCTGTTTACAGCCCAGCTACTTACTACTATCTTTGGATATAGGATATAACAATTACCTCTAATTCCTTAGTCTTTCCAGAGTTGTATAACATATTCTGTGGCTGGCACAGTGTCCCCTCCAGAGAGGGGAGATACATATGTCAAGTATATGACATCAAATGCCACAAAATCATTTATATTCAAGATTCATTGCCTTGATCAATCCCAAATAAAGCATTGTAATAAACTGCAAGGTCCTGTTTATTTTAGAGGATATCAAGATGTTATATTAATATATTAAGCAAGGAGGTTGCTGTTTCTTTTTCAAGCATCATGGCTTTAAAGACACAAGTAACAAGACATAATAAAGAATATTTATGTTTATAATTTAGAAAATTATTTAATGTATATTGTTTGATTTAATCTACAGTGATCTTATGAGGAAAGTACAGCTTAAAGCTGAACTACCCAAGGCAGATGATGTCTTGCCTGTTCTACAACTATTCGAATTACAAGATTTTTATATTCTGCTACTCAAAGCTTTGTGGTTCTCTACTTTCTTTTTTACATGATTATTTGGCATTTCTGTTCTTTTTTTAACTTTTACTTCTAGAACAAAAGAAAGTGATGTACTTGATATAAAGGTTTGCTAAATATGTTTTTAAAACTATCACAAAAGATTATCTTCAAAGCCATAAACTAGCATGATCTCTAAAATGGAAAGGTTTTATTTTTCATGTAATTTTTTGAAAACGAAAGTTGTCTAAATTATTAAAATTTTGTCTTATAGATACTATATTTCGAAAGGTGCTATTGTGGATCAACTTGGAGGCGACCTGAATTCAACTCCATTGCACTGGGCCACAAGGTTTAAATAAATTTGCTTCTGGATTTGTTTTCCCTTTGATTCCTTTATTAGTGTACAACTAAACAACTTTTTAAAAATGATATGCTAAAATGAAGGAGAGAACTTACTATGCCAATAGTTAATATCATTAATATGGTAATGTATTGCTGTCCAGTGTTACCTTCATTGGAAGCAAAGTTGGTTGTCTAAACTCTTTTTAGGGAATTATGCATGCTGATATTCATCCAGTTACTTTATAAGATTGGGTTACACTTTTAATGTAATACTTTTGCATCATATATATATTTGCCGTTTAAGAACTAGCTCAGTTCTCGGGAACTTATTTTTTGGTTACTTTCTATAGATAGCTGAGATCATATTGGAATAGAAATAATAGAATATGCTAACTATATATTTAAGGAAGTTATGAGTTTCTCCATAGATTATCAATAACTGTTTTTCCTGTTAAGATTTTTAAGAACTATAAAATCCTAAATGTCTCTTGACATATATCTATTTTAAAATAACTTTCTAAAATGTATGTGTAATCTTGCCATCATTACCTTATTTTATTTTATTTTATTTTTTTTTTTTGAGACAGAGTCTCGCTTTGTTGCCCAGGCTAGAGTGAGTGCCGTGGCATCAGCCTAGCTCACAGCAACCTCAAACTCCTGGGCTTGAGCGATCCTTCTGCCTCAGCCTCCCGGGTAGCTGGGACTACAGGCATGCGTCACCATGCCCGGCTAATTTTTTATATATATATCAGTTGGCCAATTAATTTCTTTCTATTTATAGTAGAGACGGGGTCTCGCTCTTGCTCAGGCTGGTTTTGAACTCCTGACCTTGAGCAATCCGCCCGCCTCGGCCTCCCAAGAGCTAGGATTACAGGCGTGAGCCACAGCGCCCGGCCGATTACCTTATTTTTAAAAGCTCTTTCCAGAGGATCCTGTTTAAAATAACCATATATCTAAGTGTTTGCTCTTTTATATTTTAGACAAGGCCATCTATCCATGGTTGTACAACTAATGAAATATGGTGCAGATCCTTCATTAATTGATGGAGAAGGATGTAGCTGTATTCATCTGGCTGCTCAGTTTGGACATACCTCAATTGTTGCTTATCTCATAGCAAAAGGACAGGTAAAAAAAAAATCACAGTGGTGTGGATTTTAATCAGATGTTGTCCTTCATGGTTTAAATGCCATATATCATTGGTGTTACACGTGTAACAACCTGGTGATATTTAAATAGTGCTTTCTGTTGGTTGAAGAGAATAATATAGTTAGCTTGATATTGAGCTATTTAATGCACTTAACATAAAAATAAGATAATCATGAATCAGATAAATGAGCTATTAAGTTGAGTTTTTGTTTCTGAGAGTGATAAAGATAAATTCCAGAAAGTAAGAGAGAAAATTTAAGTATTTATTTTTTCCCTTAATTACGTTTTTAAAATATGTCATCTGAATTAATCTAAACCTTTTTGAACTTATTTGTTAGTTTTTTAAAATATTAAATACCTCTTGAGGGGGATAAATTTTTTAAGATCAGTTTTTTAGTTTCTACTGTATAAAATAATACTGCTGCTTACTTGTCAAAAAACTTATGATTTAAGTGATTGCTCTGATTTTTCCTGAATGTACAGTGACCATAATCACATTAAATATTACCAGTTTATATTACCATGTTTTTGTGATAAATGTATTTTGTTAAAAAGTAATGTCACCCACTTCTTCTTCCATGTGTTTTTTCTGGTTATCTTTAAACATTAGATTTTATAACTAAGGATCTCATCACAAGTGTAACTATGATAAATGAATTAAATTCATTGCTATCAACATGTATTTATGATTATTTTAGTTTAAAATTTTATGCTGATTTAGAATTTGTATACTATTTCTTTTAATGGAACCTAATGGAAGGTATTTGTTGTTGGCAGTATCAAGCAGTGGTGGTGTGTGTTGTGTATTATAGCTTAGGAAAATAAGCATAGACTGATTAATTGCTGGAAAGGAAGAGTTTATTATTTACTACTGTGTTAACAGAATACCCTCAAAATCTAGTGGCGTAAGAATGACACCAACCATTTATTATATATTACAGTTCTGTGGACTTGTCTGGGTGGTTTTTTTTCCTTGTGACAATGGCTGGTGCCTGCCTGGGCTGGAGAATTAATTGGCTCATTTACATATCTTGTTCCTTGATAGGAGTGGCTAGAAGACTGTCTAGCTGGGATGCTGGGACAACTAGCCTCTCTCTTTTTCCATGCAGTGTCAGAACTTCAACTTCTCTACAGCACCACTCCACGTGGTTTCTCTAGTAAGGGAACTTTCTTTCAAAGTGGCTTAGACCTCCCAAAAGAACAAAAGGAGAAGCTATTCTGCCTTTTTAAGTCTTAGGTCTTGAACTGGCACAGCAATGTTTCTTCTTCATTCTGTCAGTTGAAGTGAGTAACAGGGTCAGCCCCTATTCAGTGTGGGAAGGAACAATATGAGCTTGGGAATACCAGAAGGCACGAGGTTCACTGGGGGCCATCTGTGACGACCAACTACCACAGGAGATTGTCCTTGTTGTCCCATAGTTTTTTCTAAAGCAGGGGTTGAAGCATATGTACTGTAGCATATCACAGTGTCTTTAGTGGCCTTGTGTATTGCAGGTTTAAATTTATAGGACACACTCACTTTTTTCTTTCCATTTTTAACTGGGAAAGAAAGGTAGTGTGAAGTTTTGAGTCTTCATGGTCTTTTTATTTTTAACTTACTGATTTTGGAGTTAAAATGATTTCATTAATCTTTTCATCTCTGGTATAGTATATAGGCTATAAAATTCTCAAAGGGTGGGATTTCTACTTGTCGTGCTTTCTGTACAAAAAAATGCATTGTGCTGGTGCTAAAAGTCTGCCAAATAGTTTTCTTTTCCACAAGTAAATTTTTTTTCTGCAGATAGAAATAACATGTTTATTATAAAATATTCCAACATAATAGAAGAGTATGACTTAGACAATGAAATCCTACCTCCCCCCCAACTGAGATCACTTCCTGTAGTAATTTAGTATATATTTTTCCACATTTTTTTCCACATACAGGTTGAGTATCCCTAATGTAAAAGTCAAAATTTGAAATGCTCCAAATTTGAAACTTTTTGAATCCCAGCCATGAAGTCACAAGTGGAAAATTCCGCACCTGACACCTTTGCTTTCTGATGGTTCAGCGTACACAAACGTTGTTTCATGTACAAATTTACTTAAAATATTGTATAAAATTACCTCCAGGCTATATGTATAAAGTGTAGGTGAAACATAAATGAATTTCAGGTTTAGAGTTTAGTCTCATTCCCAAGATACCTCATTATGTATATACAAATATTTGAAAATCCAAAAATATCTGAAATCCAAAACACTTCTGGTGCCAAGCATTTTGGATAAAGGATATTCAACCTGTATACACTGGTATTTTGTAAAAGACATTCTTCCAGCATGTGTTGCATCATACTTTGAATCGAGTCCAAAGTTTTTCTCTGCTCTGCAGAGCACTATGTAGCCTGGCCCCAGATACTTCTTGAGCTCCTCTTCTGTTACTTGCCGCTCATCACCCTGCTTTAAACCACACCAGTTTTCTTGCTGTTCCTTGAGCAACTCTGATGTGCTAGTGTCTCAGGGCCTTTGTGCTTGCTGTTTCTTTTGCTGCTAGTATATTCTTTCCTCAGAAAGACACACAGTTCTCTCTCTTACTTCAGTCAGATGGTTGTTCAAATTTTAGTAGCTCAGATGACATAGTTCCTAATTATAAGCAATAACAAAATTAGTATATTTTTATTTCTTCTTTCCCTTCCTTGTCTTTCACTGACTTTAGTCCATAGTATTGTTTTTCTTAGTGTTAACTTTGTTCTGATAAATGTAACTGCATTTTATTACTTGATTCTTTAGCTTTTGATAATATCCTTTGACTCGTAACTATTACAGATGAGGCTCTCAGCATACTTTCTTTTCATCCTTTTTCCATTTTTCCCCATTTTTTGTTAATTGTATCAATTTTACATTGTTAGGGCATCTAACATTTCCATTCAGTTTTGTCATTCTGTTCTTCACAATTGTTTTATTTTAGTTATACTGTTAAATATATTCAGTGCTCACTACCAATTCTTTTGGATGATTTTCAGGAGAAAAAGGGGAAAATGCTAAGTTATGGAGCCCTGTTGATCATGGAATTTCCATAAGCTTTTGATCTGGGCTTGTTAATTCTTCCTAATAGAGAATACCCATACGTCCAGGCTGAACTTGGAAAAGAAGTACCAAGTTTTAAATCCCGACCCAAAGAGAGAAAAGGTTGAATTTCATTTTTCTTTTAGTACTCTAGAGATGTGGCATAATTTTACATTTTTATTTTATTTATTGGTATTTTTAATACTATCACTTTTTAAAAAGGATATGAAAAGACTCAAAAACAAGAAGAAGAAGAAACTTAAGCATAAAATTTTTCATGTTTGCTTTAATTAGACATCAAATTTGGTTGAGCTTTCTTGAAACCAGGGCAATAAGGAATAAAATAAATTACAGTACCTATCTCTCATATTAAAAAACAAGGAAGTTTGTCATTTTGTCAGAAAACATTTTTTTCAAAGTGATGTGATTATTTAAAAAATGAACCTGTATGTTAGAAATGTTGAGTTACAGAAGATATTTCCAACATTATTAAAGTAAATCTAGAAATGGATTTGTAATGGGTAAGGTATAACATTCTATTGTAGTATTTATGGAGTGGGACTAAAACTAATGATATCCAAAGAAATATTCTAGTTCTCTAACGCAGTGGTTCTTAGAGTTTTTTTTCTTTCTCAATACACTTGGATAATGTTTACAGTTGAGATGTATTCTTGTCAATAATAGGGACTCACAAAGAACTGCTGCATAGAGATATTCAGTGTTTTACAGTGATTCACTCCTCTCTGCACTGATTGTTAAATTGGGTAACACAACTTGGGTTAGAACTACTTGTTTAATGTAATCCAGTAATGGGAGATAGGGAAGGGAAGAAGAAGAAACTTAATATATTGAATATCTATTATGTTCCAGGCTATGGACTAGATGCTTTACAAGCACACTATTCTATTTGATCACCACAGAAGTTTAATGAAGTCATTATTAAGATTCACGATTTTGGTCGAGGAAGCTGAGACTAAGAGTTTGAAGTAACTTTGCACACAATCTCATAACTATTAAGTGATGGAGTTAGGAATTCAAAACCATGTCTGTTTTATTCTGAAGGCTATACCTTTCCCAAACCTAGAAGAATCTTTTTATTTAACAATTTTTTTTGCTTGCTTGTTTTTGTTTTTTGAGATACAGTCTTGCTCTGTCACCCTGGCCAGAGTGCAGTGGCATTGTCATAGCTCACTGCAAACTCCATCTCACTGCAACCTCATACTTATACACTCAAGTGATCCTCCTGCCTCAGCCTCCTGAGTAGCTGGGGCTACAGGTGAATGCCACCATGCCAGCTAATTTTTGTACTTTTTGTCGAGATGGGGTCTCACTCTTGCTTATGCCGGTCTTGAATCCCTGACCTCAAACCGTCCTCCTACCTTAGCCTCTCAGAGTGTTGGGATTACAGGTGTGAGCCACCACACCTGGCCAACAAATGGTTTTTTATTATCTACTCTGCTGGGCATTGAGATACAAAGATGGATGTAATATGGTTTTTATCCTCAAAGAACTCCTAATTCATGAGACAGGTGCTTCAGGCCAGATCAAGTGAGTTAGGAACGGTAATTTTAAGGCAGTGAAAATGATGGAATCAGAATGTCTTGAAAGGAGATTTAGATAACTAGAGAAGAGTTTTGGGTTAACCACCTCGGTACGAGTGTCAACTATAGTCGATAGCCACAGATGGATGCGCACAGTGACTTTAGCCGACAGCCATGATACGACTTTTCTAATTTTTCGTTTATCAAAATAAAATTGTGAACATTTAAAAATAACGTAATGAAAACATATATGTATGTGTTACCTATTCTGATTTACAAGTAAAGCTGCCTGTAAAGTAAAACAAGCTTTCAGTGCTTTAAAGCTTTCCTCATCACACAAGAACAAAACGATTCGTCATCAATGCACAGCACAAACTGTCGTGCGGACTATGAGTGCTGGCTGTGGGCAAGGTCTTGAGGCCGGTGAGCGCCATACCAAAGTGGTTAATAGATTGGAGTTTTAATTCTAATTTGCTAAAAAAATTGAGCAAAAGGAGGGAAAGCAAAAAGGTAGAAGAGAAAAAATAGTCATAGTTTATTACATGGTTTGGCTAGCAATAGTATTTATACATAGTTATAATAATGTAACCATCAAATATTTATATAACTGTAATTATCATAGATCTCTTGAGAGAAAGGAATAGGAAAGGTGCATATTTGTGATGGGTCAGGGAAAGAGAGAAATTCTCATTTTTCATACTGAAGAGTCTCTGAAAATAATGCCAGACTGAAAAATCAAGAAGTAGCAATTCAGTCATCTTAAAGATATGGAGGTAAATACCAAAATAATGAATTTTAAAAAAAGGTGAAAATAGTGGGAAGTTAGGTAAGAGGATTCCTTTAGCACATTGCTTTTTTTTTTTTTTTTTTTTTTTTTTAAACACTCATCCCATTTAATTTCCTGTTACATGCTCTGAGGAAGCCAAGAACATCAGGCCCAGGCCAGCAATGCTCTGAGCTCAGGCCCCCTCTATGTGACAGATTCATGCACACACACCCACACATACATTGACCCAGGCAGAAGTACACATGCATGCACAAGTGGCTAGCACATTGCTTTTTCCCTCTAAATTTTGCAGGAATTATTTAACTCTATAAATGTATATGAATAACAAAATAAGAAATAATAAACTCGAGTTTATTAAAGTCAGATCTTTTTATTTTCTATTTTGAAATATGTAGGAATAAACAGGGTTTGTTATTCCCCCATGCATGAGAATAACCAAATTTTTCAGAGACTTAAATCACTTAACCTGTCCTTCGTACCTAGAAGATCAGAATAGGTTAAGATCTTTTAAGGTTTAAGGTTAAGATCTTGAAAGTCTGATTAAAACATCTTAAAAGGGGAAACTATAAAAACATAACATATGTCAATTAAAATATTTAGTGGCAATGATTTTAAAGTTAAAAAAGAGAAAGTTCCATGAATCATCCTTAATTGGGTTGTATTGTGTTGACTTCTTCTATTCTGTGTAAATTAGATTTTTTCCACGTAAATTTGGTTAGGAACTTATAAAATTTTACTGTCTGACCTTTTTCTTTTTATTCTATCAGGATGTAGATATGATGGATCAGAATGGAATGACGCCTTTAATGTGGGCAGCTTATAGAACACATAGGTATGTAACCGTTATGAAATGCTTATTCAGATCATTTTCAGCCAGTATACAACATGAAACAAGTGATGAGAAAATTCAGTTAATATTATACTTACTAATACTTACAATTTTTATTATGGCTATATACTATATAAAATAAATTACATTTTTTAATGTTTTGGTGTCTCCATGCTTACCTCTACCTCAGTTAATTGTAGTTTCCTTAATCTATTCCTCTTTCAACAATCTCCAAGACTAAACAAGATGTTATCTTCTTTTAAAAATTAATTAATTTTTTTAATGTGATTATGTGTTAGCAAGTTTAATGTATTAATTAGTAAATTGTCTTAAATAATTTTTGGAACAATCCAGATTTAAATTAAAACATTTTTTATTTTTATATTATATAGGTATTAATGACATCAGTTCCTAGATCAAAAATAGAAAATGTTAGGACCAAGTATTCTGTTCCTTGGAACTCTATTAATTTTATATGGTGTCACACATACTTAATATTTCATATTAGAATATTTCTCATTATTGATTATAAAATTGTTGAGTAGGTTAGAAGAGTTCCAAGTTGGAATTCAAATACAGCCACAATCAGTTTAGTATTTGTAATGATTTCTATAATTGAAATTAGGGTTGTTGTTGTTGTTTTTTTTTTTTTTTTCCTTTTCAGTGTGGATCCAACTAGATTGCTTTTAACATTCAATGTTTCAGTTAACCTTGGTGACAAGTATCACAAAAACACTGCCCTGCATTGGGCGGTACTAGCAGGGAATACCACAGTCATTAGTCTTCTTCTGGAAGCTGGAGCTAATGTTGATGCCCAGAATATCAAGGTAAAAATATACTATATTGATGATGATGTATGAAATGTGGCTGCTAATATGTGAATTCCTTAATGAAATAGGTTTTTCATAGGTTGTTGAAATTGAAAGAAACTTACAAGTTGGACCCTTTGCTTCCATGTATTAATTTGTTTTGAAAGATGAGGTCATTTATTTTCATCTTGTAGTACTGAAGTAATTTTGGGGCTTTAGTGGCCTTTTCATTAGTGAATTCTTACTGGTTTTTGGAAATTAAATTATAATCTGTATTTTATAGATGAAGAGGAATAGTTTTCTAGTTTCTTGAAAAAGATGACAGAGAATGCAAGTTTGTAGTTAAACCACATTATGCATAATTTTAGTTCTTTGACTTGGTCATCTTATCATCATATTTTTTTAAAGGTCAAGACTTTTAAATTTGATAAATACCTGTATGATGTTTATAGGAGAACTCCTCCCCCTCCAGTGGTGGGCCAATCTGTGAAAAGAATACAAAATTATCCAAGAACCAAGCACAGTTAACACTTAACACTCTTGAGTATTTAGAAATTTGTACACATTTTATGAATACATGTGAGAAAATTCTATTGGTAGTCTCAAATTTTGATTGAACAATAGACTCTTGTTCTATTGAACAATAGACTCATGTTTAAAGTGAAATGACTTTAAACATCATCTTTTAATAATGTACATTCGTAAATAACTGTGCCCATTGACAGATCTTCATTAATTCTGACTATAATTCATAGTATTTCCCGAGTCATGTTTTTTAAATTTCTAAGGGATATGTGCTAATTAAATATGAAGGAGGTCCAAGCCACATACTAATCTGAAATTGCCAATCAAAAAGTAGGTTATCTCCTGCTGGATCAGGGCATATTTATGTTCCAATGAGTAGTTCTTCATCAATTCAGTTGCTTAAGAGAAGGCTAAATTACTAAAATAAAATAGCTTAGACTAATTATATGCAGAATAATTTATTTAACATTATATTCAGTTTCTAGAAATGAGTAATTACAAATATTTTAATTAAAAGTAAATAATGTTGGAAGGTATCAGAAATTGATAAAATCATTTATTCTCTTTTTTAAAAAAATTTTCTATCTTCTTGTCCTTATCCAAAGTGATCAGAATGGTCCAGTGTCTGCCATTAAACACAGGGAAAGAGGGAAGTCAGCATACCATGGTGCCTGATGTGTGATGGACACTCAAGTTACTGACTGAATGAAAATTTGTGTAGTCTTGAGCTTTAGCTAAGCTAGTTTTCATTACTCTATCAGGATACCTCTCTACCACTTGAGAAATTATAAAGATAAATATTTTAAAATAAGATGCTCTGAAAAGTTCATGACACTGGGATTAGTAAATTAACTGATCCCAAGTCTAAAGGTTAAGGAGGAGTTTGACTAAACCTGATCACTATCCAAATAAGAAAAAATTAGTGAGATTAACTCATGTTTTATTGTCTGAATTGCTTTCAAGTGTTATTCTTCTTCCCTTTGCTTCCAGACAGCCATTTGTAAAGTGATCATGTACCAGGAATATATTTCAATATATTTCATTCAACAAATTCTTGTTCAGTGGGGGCAAGTCAGAATGTTCAAGACAGATAAGGTCCTTATTCTCTCAGAACTTACGTTTATTGAGGAAACAGGCAATGAGTAAATTTTTTAAAAAGGCAAATGTTGTAGAGTGACAGGGCTGGGAGTGCCCCGTCGGGTGAGAGTGATTTGGGAATGCTTCGAGGAGATAATTGCTTTGAGAATTATCTGATGCCAGAGGGTCAGTTATACAGTAATTGTGGGAAAAATCTTTGCATGTAGAGGAGCATGCAAGCACAGGGTTGTAATAAGCAGGAATAAGCTTGCCATGTTTGAGGTGCAGAAACAAGGACGGCTTGGCTAGAGTATAGTGAGCAAGGGAGTGAAGTCACTTGACAAAGACAGCTGCCAGATCATGCAATGTCATAAGGAGCTTTAATTGTATTCCCAGTCAGAGGAAGCAGTTGGAAGGATTTATATAGGCTGATTATATGATCTGCTTTTTGTTTTAAATATTTTAAATGAGTGCTTTGGTTGATGTATACAGAATGCATTGAAGAATTAAGAAAATGGAAAGGACAGAGTTCAGTTAGGCTGTTACAATAAATCAGGCAAGTGATAATGTTAGCTTAGCCTAGGATTGGAAGAATAGAGATGGAGAGAAATGAATGGAGTTGGTGGTGATATTTTAAAGTAGAAATGAAAAGGTAGATTAGATATGATGATGAAAGAAAACATCACTGATGGCTTTGTTTTGAGTGCCTGTCTTGTGATAGCATATGTTGAGGTTGTGAAGACTAAAGAAGAAATATTTTTTTTGGATGAAGATGATAAGAATCGGTTCTGTTTTGGTAATATTTAATTTGAAGTGGTGCCTATAGTTATGTGGACTATTAAGCTAATTAAGTAAACTTAAGTTGCTGCAAATTTTGAAAGGTCTTGTTCATAATGAATTATGACAATAGAATGGAACCTGCAAATCTAGATAGCTATAAAAAGTTACTTTTCTTCAAAGAATATGAAAAATTATACTTTGAGTTATACTAATATATAATTATTAGGTGATCCTGTATCTTCTAAAATAACTATTTTCTAAATAAGATTAAGGTTGAGTTTCTGAGAAATTTATCTTTATAGTAACTAGAGATTTACCCTTATAAATTAGTTATTTGAGTATCTGATATACTCAAATATTTTTATTTTAATATATTAAATATATATATTTTAATATACATACATTATATTTTAATATATTAAAAATGGTTCTTTTATCAAGTAAGATAGAACTTATTTTGAAGACAATTGATGTTAAATGATAGATAATTTAAAAATTGCTGTTGTGATCCTTAGAAGGATTAGGAATAGCCACATACCCTAGATTAGAGATTTTTACTGTGGGTCCCCCAATGGACTTTGGTTGGGAGAGGTAGGTCCATGGACCCCCAAAATTGCTAGAACAAAGTTACATCTATCAGTATTTTTCTGGGGAGCTTATTGGGCTTCCATCACGTATGACTCAAAAGAATTTAAGAACCACAGCCCCAGATAATACATAGACTAAACAAATCTTTTCTTGTTAAGTAACAGCATTAGGGAGGAAAAAAAGTGATTTGGGATACTAAGAATAAAAAACAAACAAAATTACGGTATATATAATGATCCCTTTTTGTGTCAATATCTCATTTGTGGATTAAAAAAAGATAATAATTTATCCCCTAGCGTATGTTTTTGGTTATACAGGTGAATTTGGATGGATTGAGTTTGGAAGGGACAATTAATCTCTGAGTGCTGCCCAAGCATTTATAATGTTTTCTTTCTAAAATTATCAAAGTACATAATCTTTAGCTTGCACAGAATATAAAATTACTGAGATTTGTTAATTACTATATTGAAAGAGCTCTTACAGGCTTTTCTGAAATGAGGCAAGAAACTGTTTTCAGAAAATAGTTGTTCATTACCTGTTAAATACCTCACATGGATGGTCTCCAGGAATGATTTTCCTTAGTTTTGACAAAGAAATTCAACCTTACTTAGGCAAAACTTTAAGTGATCTTCCTCCTGCCCCCAGCCATAATGTTTATCTCACCAAAACCCTAGAAGAATTTCTTTTATTACCAGTTACATAGTCTATAAATACTCCATGTAGATTTTTGCTGATGTTACTGTTTTTAGTATTATTTATTATTTTGGCTAAAACATGGAGTGATCAGAAGCCTGGTTTTAATATGCTTCCTTAAATTAATTGCTATTTATTTTACCAGCTGAATAAAAGAGCAATACAAAAATAGTCAGATGACTAGAGGAGTAGTTGAAAGAAAGATTTTTTTAAAGCTCCCTCAATCTTTTTGTCTAGGCAATCCTTAGGTGTCACATGGCCCTCTAGTGGAAGGGATGCTCAGCTGGACCGAGGCAACTGCAGGATATTCTCTGGGAGTTGTTACCCAAGGGATTGCTTTTATTCAGGTAATCTTTATAGTTTGGATTAATTAGCTGGTTCTGACAACTTAGGTGGTGGAATTTTGGAATAGATGAGGTGATATTTTAAAGTAAATATCTCTATTTGTGGAAGACTCACCTAGATTAGCCCATTCTTATTAAATACCATTGATCTTTATATTAAAGAATTTATTGGGCTTTTTGTTTTTACTGTTGTTTTGTAATAGTTGTTGCTGTTGGTGGTAGTGGTGTATTTTATTTTGTTGTTTATTTTTAATTTTTAGGGTTTTTTGTAGATAAACTACTACAGACTTGATAAGTAATCATCCCCTCATAAGTAAGGTACCCTAAGGCTCCTTATTCCTCTATTCTTTTTCATTCAGTCTTTTGAGATAAAATGTCAATGTTTTTTATTTTTTAAAGGTAATTTTGAATGGTCATCTATACATTCTTGAAATTTTGGCAAACATTTTTAATTTCACTTTTCTATTTAAAGAAGTAGATAAATAGTGGAGGACATTAAATAGAATGGTAGTGTGTCTAGCTAATTTGCAAAAGGAGAAATAAGATTTTAAGCTAGTTAAGGCAAACAGAAGTATAGATCTAGAATTGGGAATGTTTATTTCTTTGTCCCTTAGTTCACTTAATACATTTTAGTCCTATTAAACTTCTTGACATTCTTTTTCTTGAGGTGAAAGGGAGTTTCAAGTTTATAACTGGAACGTCACTATTTTTTTTATCCCTTCTTTCATTCCTTTGGAAATTTCTGGATGGGTGAATGAATTTAATATATGTCAACAATGCCAATACAATATAGGAGAAGTAGAAGTTGACTTTTCTTTTTCTTCCCTGTTCCTTCCTGAAGACTCTTACCATTTCCGAAATAAAACTGAGAAATTTCTGGCAATTTGGCATCATGGCAAGATGTTTTATAGCAGTAACTATTACTAATGAAATCTTTCGAGAATTTGAAATACCTGGTAAACTTAGTGATAGCCTATGATCCAGCATGTACTAAAATACCTACTTTTTGATTTGCTTTCTTATATGTCGAAATGCAAGCAAAAATAGAATCTATAGAAAGAATAAGATGAGAAAACATATTTTTTTATTGTACTTTGAATGGGAAAGCATAGTAAGAAATATGTGATGATTTAGGTTCGGTTAGTCATCAACTTTACCCAACGTTAAAACAATGTTAAGGGATTAATAGTGCCATTGATTTATTTTTATGGAAGTTCTTTAAAAGTTAATGATTAAGACATTCTGCTTTTTCTTTTATTTTTAATGTGAATTTCTTCTACTTATATCATCAGGGTGAATCAGCGCTTGATTTGGCAAAGCAAAGAAAAAATGTGTGGATGATCAACCATTTACAAGAGGCAAGGCAAGCAAAAGGATATGACAATCCATCTTTCCTTAGGAAGTTAAAAGCTGATAAGGTAAACTCATGACTGAAGATTTTCAATATATTATCTTTTAAGTAGGCATGGTTAATTAGCATGAATATTTACAGCCTTTAATTTTGCCATTTCCCAGTATAATTTTTAAAATATTATTTCACCCAGAGTAAATGAAGGTAAATAGCAAAGTTTCTCAGGGATCTGCTTACTTGGTTGGTGACCTATTTGGGTTGTCTAATAATTAGGAAGGATGGGAATATATGAAATTATTTAAGTTTCCATAGGCTACTAATATAAATTGTTGTTCATTGGTTCAACTAGCTTTTTTTAATCAATAGGTTAAAAATAAATATTTTTCTAGTATATGTTCATTTGTTGGTATTAATAAACTGTGAAACATCTTAGTCCTAATACATATTCTTTTTAAAATCTAAAAGATTAATACAATCTGAAGAGAAACCAGAGTATACATATCCTTTTTAACTACTCATAACTCCAACTCTAATTAACTTGAGCTTTCTTCTCTTTTGTGATATGTTCTATAACATTTTTTAGAGAGAAAACTTACATTCTTGACTTCTCTGTAAAATACTCATTTTAGATCTTCATAGATCTTCAGTTTTAAACTATATAACCATTGACACAATTGCCTAATAATGATAATATGATTTTAAAATTTAGAACATTTTCCCAAAAGGGGGGTCTAGATTCTGGCAATTTGTTTATATACCTAAATAATTGACAAAATGTCTGCTAACTTGTCATTAACACAACTCGAGTGGCATTAAGTCTTGAGTACCATCTTATGTATGTCTTATTCAGGCTGTTCTAGTAGTAATACTAATTGTTTAGAATTAACGTTGATCTGTTATTGAGACAGAAAGACAAGTTTTTGGATAAAGAGAAGCAACTTGAAAGCAGTGCCTGATTTATTCATTGGTGTTCAGATTCCCTTAATGAGACGGAAAGTCCCCTGGTCCATTACTTAGACATCAGAAGAATTAGATTGATAGTTTATAAACTTGCCTATTTGTAACCCCATAGCTGAGTATAGTGAACAGTTTTTACATGTTGTGTTAACTCTTTTATTTAAATATTAGATATGATACAGAAAATGGTTTGTTTATTGTGATCTTGCTCTGTTCTCTAGGATTTAGAGCAGTTTTCCTCAACTGGGTAAAAAATAGCTGATGATAATTAGGCTAGTAATAAAAATATTTTGTGTTACTTTGGAAAATCCTATAACTTTTATGCTTTCATTTTGTTGAATGTAAATATTCTCATTTTTTAAATATATAATCAAATGAAAATGATTTGTAAATTCTAGGTACTGCATAGAATTGTAAATATGTAAAGTTACTTATAGCATTAATAAATCAGGTTTATGTGTTTGGTTTTTTTTTTTTTTTAGGAGACTTTTATACAAAGTTTAGTGCCATTTTAACATTTGTATATTATTGTCATCGGTTCACAAGTTGAGTTTCTTTTCTGTTTTACAGTAGCTTTAAATATACTAAGTCTGTTAAAAAAGGTTACTAGATAAAAATATATAATGACTGGGGACTCTGTGAGGTTAAGCAGCTCTAATTATATAGAGTGTTCATTTCTTTTTCCATGTCACATTAGAAAAATTTAAATCGAGCCAGGTGTATGTGGTGGTGTACATCTGTAGTCCTAGCTCCTCGGAAGGCAGAGACAGGAGGATCACTTGAGCCTAGGAGTTTGAGGCCATGACAAGCTATGATTGCACCACTGCCCTCAAACCTGGGTGACAGCATAAGACCCTTTCTCTAAAAAAAAAGGAAGAAGAAAGAAAAAAAGAAAAGAAAATTTTAAATCATGAACCATGAACATATGATTTGCTAGCTTACAAAATGTGTACTGTATTTAAAACTAAACAAGAAAATAATGACATGTAGGACTCAATAGTATTATATTTTTTAAAAAGTCATCTTTAAGGGGGGAAACATTTTGAATAGTGCTAGTAGACAGGGAGAGAATCTTGATTTTAGAAAACTATTTTAAGAGCTCCTAGATTTTTAAAGTTAAAAAATTTTAGACTGGGCGCAGTGGCTAACGCCTGTAATCCTAACACTCTGGGAGGCTGAGGTGGGCAGATTGCTTGAGGTCAGGAGTTCGAAACCAGCCTGAGCAAGAGTGAGACCCCGTCTCTACTATAAATAGAAATTAATTGGCCAATTAATATATAGAGAAAAAATTAGCCGGGCATGGTGGCGCATGCGTGTAGTCCCAGATACTCGGGAGGCTAAGGCAGTAGGATTGCTTGAGCCCAGGAGTTTGAGGTTGCTGTGAGCTAGGCTGACGCCACGGCACTCACTCTAGCCTGGGCAACAAAGCGAAACTCTGTCTCAAAAAAAAAAAAAAATTTAAACAGGCAGATTTTATAGTTAAATAATTCTTAACTGCTTCGTAATAAGTTGGAGAGAAATCTTTAAGTTAGTATTTCTCAATATTGTGAAAACCATGATTCCATTTATTAATGATGGAAATGTCACATATCCTTTTTAATTTTGTTTGTTGGTTATGTGAAAATAAATCTGGGAACATGGAGTAGATGTACTTTTCCCTGTTTTTTTTCCACTAAGAACTAAAAACCCTGGATGATATGTATACATTAATACAAAACTCTGAAAGATGGAGAGAAGACGGCAGAGTTGCTAGGGAACTCAGCATCTGAAGAATGACAGGGCAGTGAGTTCTCTGGGTTTTCTTTTTGGCTCATATATCCTAGACTAGGAGCTGACAAAGGTGGCAACTTAGAATTACAAACAGATGCAGACAAAAAAGACTCAAACAAAAGCCAAAGCACCACAGAAGAGGCAGCCTAGCGAGACACAAAACTTTTAGGAAATAAATGCTTTGCTATAGCCAAACACTACAGAAAAAAATATGACCCACCCTGACTCATAGCCACAAAAGCCCATTGGTGAGCCTAGGCTTCTGCCCTTGCCAGGTTATAATGAAGTGCCCCAACTTGTCTTCTGGGGTGGTATCAGAGAAGGCTGAATAGGGAGTTGGGACTTTCCGCCTCATTAGCTGTTAATGAGGTCCTAACCCCTTCCCCATTTTCCCATATCATTAGAGACCACATGGGAACAGTAATGAGGCACTCTTATCCCTCCCAGCCAAAGAAGTATTAGAAGAGATAAGAGAGCTAGAGGTCCCACCCTTGCCCAGCAATAAACAGGAGCCCCCTACTCAGATGTCAGTGGAGGCTAAATGGGGGATCCTAGACTTCTATCCAACCTGTCATCCTTCACCCACACCAAGGTGTATCAGAAGAATCCATCTAAAAGAGAAGGTTCAGATAAGATGCAGAGCCTCATAACGACTAAAATGTTCAGGTTTCAATTGAACATCACTTGTCATACCAAAACCCAAGAAGATTTGAGACAGAATGAAAAGAGAATCAATAGATACCAATGTCATGGTGACAAAGATATTAGAATTATTTGACAGAAAAGATTTTAAAGCAGCCATTGTAAAAAGGCTTCAATGACTAATTATGGACATGCTTGAAACAAATGAAAAACAGAGTCTAAGCAAAGAAATAGAAATACAGAACTAGAATATAAAGAAGAACCAAATGGAAATTTTGAAACTTACATTTACAAATTGAATTTAAAAGCTGAGCAAACCCCAAATAAACTCAAAGAAATCCTCACTGAACATATCATAATCAAACTTCTGGCCACTGAAGACCAAAAAAAAAAAAAAAAAAAAAAAAAATTTTTGATCTTATAACCGGTAAGGGAGAAGCAATTCAAATGACAGCAGATTTCTTATCAGAAACCATACAGGCCAAAAGGAAGTGGCACACTTTTCAAGTGCTCAAAGAAAAGAACTGTCAACCCAGAACCCTATGTCCAGTGAAAATATCATTTAGGAATGAAGGAGAAATCAAAACATTCTCAAATCAAGGAAAACTAAGAGAATTTGTCACCAGTAAATATACCCTAAAAGAGAATAGCTAATCAAAAGTTCTCTAAACAGAAACGAAATGATAAAAGAAGGAATCTTGAAACATAAGAACCCAGTAAGCAAAATTATAGGTGAATATAATAGACTTTCCTTCATTTCTTGTGTCTTCTAAATTATGCTTGACAGTTGAAGCAAAAATTATAGTGTTATCTGATGTGGCTCTAAATGTATGTAGGGAACATATTTAAGACAATTATAAGTAGGGCAAGATAGAAGGACATAAATGGAGGTAAGTTTCCCCTACTTCACTTAAAACAAAGAGAACAGAAAATAAAAAATAAAATTGCATACTTAAACCATAACATCAATTATTACATTAAATATAAATGGTTTAAATACACCACTTAAAAGACAGATGTTGGCAGTGTGGTGTGGATTATACTGTATTTCCCAACTATGCTGTCTATAAGAAACACACTTCACATGTAATGATATAGGCAAGTTGAAAGTAACAAAATGGGAAACAGTATCAAAACTAGGCAAAGACAATACCAAAAAAGAAAACTATAGATCAATACTCCTCATGGATATAGACTCAAAAATCCTTAACAAAATATTAACAAATAGAATTCAGCAATACAGTAGTTTCCCCTCATCTGTGGGTGATATGTTTCAAGATTTTTAGTGGATGCCTGAAACTGTGGTTAGTACCAAACACTATATATACTATTTTATCCTATACATACATACCTGTGATGAAGTTTAATTTTTAAATTAAGCATAGTAAGAGATTAACAACAATAATACAATAGAACAATTATAATGATATAATAAAAGTTATGTGAATGTGGTTGGTCTCTCATAATATTGTACTTATTCATCTATTTTTGGACCACGGTTAACCACCAGTAACTGAAACTGTAGAAAGTGAAACCACAGACACGAGGGAGGGGGACTACAGTACATAAAAAGTTTTATTCTATGACTAGGGTTTATTCAAGGATGCAAGCCCAGTTAAATATTTAAATATTGGTTAATGTAATCTGCCATATTAACAGATTAAAGAAGAAAAATCTCATGATTATACCAATCAGTATAGAAAAGTGTTTAATAGAGATCAATATTTATTCATGGTAAAAACTCTCAGAAAAATAGGAATAGAGGAGAGCTTCCTCATCTTTATAAAGGTTCTTTATAAAACTTAAAAATAATGGTTAGTTATAAGACTGAATGCTTTCCCCCTAGATCAGGAACAAGGATATTCCTCATTCTTGCTCTTATTCACCATAGTGATGGAAGTTTTACTAAGTATAATAAAGCAAGAAAAGGAAATTAAAAGGCATATAGCTCAGAAAGGGAAAAAATAAAAATGTCCCTGTTTGTAGTTGACATGATCATTACATAGAAAACTCCAAGGAATCTACAAAGAAAACTTCCTAGAACTAAGAAGTGAGTTCAGCAAGGTTGCGGGATATAAATGTGCAAAAAATCTATTTTAATTCTATATATTTGCTATAAACATGTGGACACTGAAATTAAGAATACATAATGAGTTAGAGTGTCTCAAAAAAATTGAAATGCTTAAGTAAATCTAACCAAAAATATAGTATACTTTTATATTGAAAACAAAAAGTGCTGATGAAAGAAATCAAAGATAATTTGAATAAGTGAAGAAGCATACTGTATTTATGAATTGGAAGACTCAACATGGTAAATATGTCAGTTATCTCCAAATTGATGTATAGATTTAATGTAATTCTTATCAAAATTCCAGCAGGAGATTTTGTATATATTAACCAAGATTATTATAAAATTTATGTGGAAAGGCAATGGACCTAGGAGATATAAAATAATTATGAAAAAATTACATAATTTCTAGACCTGTTATAAAGTAGCAGTAATTAAGACGTGATATTGCTAGAGGGATACTCATAAATCAGTGGAACAGAATAGAACCCAGAAAGAGAACCACACAGATGCCCACTGACTTTTGACAGAAATGCTGCAAGCAATTTAGTAGAAGAAAGGTAGCCTTTTCAACCAGTGGTTCTGGAGCATTTGGACATCCATAGGCAAAAAATAAACTTCTACTTATTTATTTATTTATTTATTTATTTATTTATTTATTTATTTATTTATTTATTTTTTTTTTTTTTTTTGAGACAGAGTCAGCCTAGCTCACAGCAACCTCAAACTCCTGGGCTCGAGTGATCCTTCTGCCTCAGCCTCCCGGGTAGCTGGGACTACAGGCATGCGCCACCATGCCCGGCTAATTTTATATATATATATCAGTTGGCCAATTAATTTCTTTCTATTTATAGTAGAGACAGGGTCTCGCTCTTGCTCAGGCTGGTTTCGAACTCCTGACCTTGAGCAATCCGCCCGCCTCGGCCTCCCAAGAGCTAGGATTACAGGCGTGAGCCACAGCGCCCGGCCTGCTTATTTAAACCTTATACCTTATATGAAAATTGACTCAAAATGATTAACAGACTTTAATGTAAGATGTAAGACTATAACACTTCAGAAAAAATCATCAGGATCTAGGGGTAGGCAATGAGTTATTAAACTTGCTATAAAAAGGAAAAATTGACAAACTGGACTTCATTAAAATTTAAAACTTTTGCTCTGTGAAAGACTCTGTTCTAGGAAGAACAGACAAGGTGTAGACTGGGAGACAATTATTTACAAACCATATATCCAACAAAAGACTAGTATCCAGAATATTTAAAGAACTCTTAAAACTCAACAGTGAAAAATCAAACAGTTCAGTTAGAAAATAGGCTAAAGACATGAAGTGATAATTTCACCAAACAAGGCATACAACTGGAAGATAAGCACATGAAAAGCTGTTCAACATCGTTAGTAGGGACATGCAAATTAAAACCATAGTGATTTACCTATCATAATGACTAAAATAAAAAGTTGTGACAACACCAAATGCTAATAAGGATGCACAAAAACTGGATTAGTCAGTCATTGCACAACCTGGAGAACAGTTTGGCAGTTTTTAAAAAAAATTCTAAACATGCTATTACCATTCAACCCAGAAATTGCCTTCTTAGACATTTATCCGAGAGTAATGAAAACTTATCTTAGCTCATAAACTTACACGCTAGTGTTTATAACAACTTTGTTTATAATAGTCCCAAACTGGAAACAATGTTGATGTCTTTCAGTGGATGAATGGTTAAACAAACTGAAGTACATCTATACCGTGGAATACTTCTCAACAATAAAAAGCGATAAACTAATAATAGATGCCATAAACCTGGAACAATCTCCAGAGAATTATGTTAAGTAGAAAAGCCAATTCCATGAGTTATATACTGTATGATTCCATTTATATAAAATTCTTGAAATTACAGAAATGGAAAACCCAGATTAGTGGTTGTTAAGGGTTGAGGGATTGGGAATAGGAAGAAAGTTGACTACATAAGGGTAATATGAAGAATCCTTTTAATAATGAAAATATTCTGTATCTTGACTCTATCGATGTCAGTATCCTAGTTGTGATATCATATTACTATTTTGCAAGATGTTACCATTGAAGGAATTTAGATGAAGGGTACTCTGGATCTGTGCATATTATTTATTACAGCGGTGTGAATCTGTAATTATTTCAAAATAAAAAGTTTAATTAAAAATAAGTTTACAAATGGTAGAATCTAGGTGGTGGATATGTAGGTATTCACTACTAAAATTCTTATAAATTTATTACATAGTTGAAATTTTCCATAATATAGGAGAAAATAGCTTTATCTTTATAGCAGTGTATCACCATTACATCTTTACAGTATCATCTTATGTATGTTAAATGACAGTATGAAAAAAATTTAAAAAATAAATCTGACCCAGAAATCCTACATATAGGTATCCAAGTGAAATTTATCTTTACAAAAGAACCTAAATGGAAATGATTATAATGGCTTTATTCATAATCACCAAAACCTGAAAACAACCTTAATTTGTTGGATAAACAAACTGGTACATCTATGCAATGGAATACTAAGCAGGAAACAAATTGCTGGTACATAAAACAGCATAGATGAATGTCAAATGCATTCTGTAAGTGAAAGAACTTAGATTTAAAAAGCTATATTTTTTATGATTCCATTTATATGGCATTCCTGCAAAGAAAAAGTTTTAAGGACAGAAATTTGATTAGTGGTTACCTGGAGCTGGAACTCTAAGGCATTGGGGAATTTGGGGGCTTGCAGAACTGTTCTATATCTTGATTTTGGTGCTAGTTAAATCACTGTATATGTTAGTCAAAATTTAGAGCACTATCCACAGGAAAGGGTAGATTTTACCTATATACACATTAAATATATTTTTAAATTTTTAATAATTTAAAGTTTTAAAAATGAAAAAGTGTGGCCAGTGCTGAGGGAGAACAAATATCCTGACTGAAAACAAGCCAAATTAAAGATAATTTTAGAAAATGCTTTTTCAAAGGATACTGTGTCTGCCTTTTCTCCCTCTAGTACCCTATACACTCTCTCCTCTGAGCTATAAATTTTCTCTATTGTTTTAATATAAAGTTCACAGATAGTAGAAAAAATTAGATTAGCTATTTTACTGTGGCATAAAATTAAACTCTGAAATTGATGTTTAATTATTAGTGTAAGTTAAAATTACACATTTAGTTTAGAAAATGAATTACAGTGACCAAGTTGGGAAAGACATGGCCATTTATATGAAAAAAATATTTATTTTACTGGAAACCAACAGTTAGAAAGGGGTGTTAAAAATGTATAATATAATCTTAGCCTTAAGAAAAATAAATGTTCAATGAAGAAAGCAATATTTATACTCTAAGCTTTATTGGACCTCAGCTGGAATATTTTACATAGTTTTGTCACCTAAAGTAACTCAAGAGAGACTTGATAGCTGCTTATAAGTTTGTGAAGGGCTGACTTTCTTTTACTGTTAAAAAAAAATTGTGATAGATGTTACAAGGAGGCATATAGATTTTACACTTACAAGTGTGAACTTTCTAACAACCAGACCAGTAGAGAAATGAAGTGGAAGTACCTCTGGAGTATTGAGCACTTTGTCTTGATACGTGTTCAGAAGTACATATCTTCACTCTATGGATTTTAGAAACCTGTAGATTGTTTGATTTTATTCTTTATCTCATTTTAAGATTTAAATTTACTGTTTATAATTTGAAATGTCTTCTCCAGACTAAGCATCCTCAGGTTTCCTTATCTGATATTGTTCTTACAACTTCAGCCGTTCTCATTGTCCTTGTCTCTTTAGTTATCAATCCTCCTGTTAAAATGGGCTGGTATTTGTCATGAACTGTTTTCTAGCCAGTCCACGTGTTAACAGGTAGTCTGCTGTCTTCTATATTTGCCCATAGAACCCACTCCTACAACTTCTATTCTCATTTTCCACAGTTTTAACAAAGATCTTTTAAATTGTTTAATGCCTGTCTCCAGCAGACAGACACCAGTACCTTGTATAGTACCTGCACATAGTAGGCAAATTTAAATAAATGAATTTTACCCCCTGTTGCATGCCTTCACAAAGATAACAGTGGTTCAGACTGAAGTTACTTGAAACTTGTGAAAGTTTTCTAATTGTTTGTTTCTGTACAGGAATTTCGGCAGAAAGTAATGCTAGGAACTCCTTTCCTAGTTATTTGGCTGGTTGGGTTTATAGCAGACCTAAATATTGATTCTTGGCTCATTAAAGGGCTAATGTATGGTGGCGTTTGGGCTACAGTACAATTTCTTTCAAAGTAAGTGTGTTGTTTTTAACTACATCTTTAACTGTATATGAAAAATATAATTTGTACCCTGCTGTATAAAATTAATGTTTCATATGTTTAGAATATTGCCTTTATGTAGTATGTTTGATCTTAATTTATTGTTTAAAGAATTTTGAGAAGTTCATATGTGAAATCCTTTAGATTTTTTAACGTTGTTATTAAAATGATTATAAAAGTTCTTTAATGACAAAAGTCTAGCATGTAAATTTTAAGACTAAAATACAGTTTTAGAAATATTTGAAGTATTTCAATAGAAGTAAACTTGAGTCTGTTGAACTCTGAATGGAATATACATATTGTTTGTTTCTAGGTATTTGTAATACTTAATCTCACCTTTCTATTGTAATGATATTTCTTTGGTCATAGGCAGTGAGGAAGGAAGATTTGATTTTAGTAGCAGGGTAAAGTCTAAGCATGATTATGAAGTGGGCTTAGTTGTTTGTGGTGTGTTTTTGTTTTTGTTTTGTTGAAACAGGGTCTCACTGTTTTTGGAGACAGGGTGTTTGTTTGCTTGTTTGTTTGTTTATTATTTTTTTGAGATGGGGGCTTAGTTTTAAAATTCTTTTCTTCATCTTTTTTCTTTAAACATTATGACCATTCATACCCTTTTCCTCTTGTCCTTAGGTCACATTGCCCTGAAGTTGCCCCAGTTAGCAAACCTAGGCACATGTCTACAATCGAGAACTTCCCATCTAATTTCCATTCTTTTAATAGTATTTTTTCCCTTAAATTTTTTAAAAGCATTCTGAAAATAATTTGCACAGAGATGAGAAATGACGAGTAATGTGCTAACTCTCAAGAATGGGCTTAATTCTAGTTAATCTCAATTGTTGTATTTCTAGGAGCTCTAAAAGACATTATCAACAGGAAGTCAGTAAGACTTCTTAGTATACATGGATAGTTGATTCTGTTTATGTTTAATAAAGTTTACTAGTGTTTATTTTTTCTGAATTTTATTATAAACACAAACCTTCAATTTTACTGAATTAGCCACTGCATTATATTTGAAAAGATGTGCCCCAACTTTATCTGGAGTATGTAGGTAAGGAGAAATAATGATGAAGCAGAGCAAACCTGAGGATTGTTTGTACTTATTTGTATTCAAATTATAACACATCTTTGGTGAATAATAGGCTGGATGATAGTTACTATATATACTAAAGTGAATTATTGACTTAAGAGAATAGGAGTACACTGAAATTCTGAAGTCAAAGTGTATATGAAGTATATTTTTAATTCTTGGAGAACTAAAAGGAACTTCAAAAACTTGCTGAATCATTCAGCTGTAAACTCATTTATTATTGATCACTGAAAAGTCTCAGTATTTAAGTATCTTGAACTCTTGAATCTGGTTAAATCAGTGCTTACTATACAGAATGTGTGTAATTTTCATTTAAATATTCATTTTTTACAATGACATATAGGGCTCATAATTTCTAAAACTTTTGTTTTGCAGATCCTTTTTTGATCATTCAATGCATAGTGCATTGCCCCTTGGGATATATTTGGCAACCAAATTCTGGATGTATGTGACATGGTTCTTCTGGTTTTGGAATGATATCCTTTGGTTATAAAGATTATACCTAAACAAATTTTGCTTGTTATTTAAGCAAACATTTAATAATAATTTGACATTAGGACTGAACTACTCATGATTTGCTGTGTTACAGTATTTCTAGAAAAATGAATGAACTCATATAAATGTTTCATTTAAAGGGTTGTTTTGAAAGCTGCTTTTAATAATGTAAATAAAGATAGCTACCACTTACTGATTGTTTAGAAAGCACTTTGTAAAGTACTCGTTTAATCCATATACCATAAATTAGTATTGTTATTTCCATTAGTATTAGTAATCCATATACCATACCATTAGTAATCCATATACCATAAATTAGTATTGTTATTTCTCATCCATATAGATGAGAAAATTAAGGCTTAAGGAGCCCAAGATCACTTAACTAGTCTCTGATAAGGGTGATATTGAAACATGTATTTGTCTAACTCTAAACATATCCTAACTGTAATTTTTAAATTTTAGTATCAAACTATTTTTTCTAAACATTTTCTTAATGTCATAACTTACTTTGTTGTAGTAGGTAAGAGTTCATATTCTCTTAAAAGTATTTCATCTCTTTTGCTTCTTGAAAAGCCTAGAATACTATATCTCCAAACATTTGCTGACTGTAGCAAATTATGAGTGTAGTATACTTTTTAAAAGTAATGTATTTGAAATTATGTGAACATGTGTGCATGTCAGAGAAATAAAGCCAATATCATTTTTTGATCTTTTCACACAGAAAAATTTCAATCAACAAGACAGACTGATTTATTATAATAAAGGCACATGTTCATGAATGTCTGATAATTAAATCTTTCAAAACATTACTATAAAAAGTATATAAGAAATGTTTTGAGTGGTATATAATTTTTGGTTACTTGTAACTGTCTATAAACAATTTTAGTTAGTACCTTGTTTCAGTTCACAGCCTTACATATTATAATATTTTTATTAAGTGGCCTTGTGTTTTAGTTGAAAAACAAAATGTGCTTATTTTTGATACTTGAAGCACAGAATAATAAATACATTTATAATTTTCAAATTTTTATTGCATTCAGTTATCTTCAGAAAGTATAGTACTTTTATTAATAAATATTTTCTTGGTGAAAGTATCAGTTCTTCCTCATGGAAGTTTTCACTAGTTAATTCTGGCCTTGTATTATACTTTGACATAAAAATTATTCCTCAAGGATATATTAAACATTAGAATTGCCATATTGGAACATTTAGTGAGTAAAAGAGATCTGCTTGTTTTCATTACCTCATCTATTTTAAATTTGTAAAAAGCACTGACCTTTGAAATGACTTTAGTATTCCAGACATATTTTCTAACTTTGTATTTCCTAAATTGGACATTAAAATTTGTGTTCAAGGGAAAAAACTAAGATTCACATCTCTAAATAATTTTAACCTGTTGTTGTACTCCTAATCCATGGGTAAATGCTGAAAAGCAGGATATTTAGTAAATTAGTAAATTATGAATAACTTAATAATGAAAACGTAATGCTAGAGAGTATTATATAGTATAATTTGAATTTTTTCCTTTTTTCCCCTTTATGTGGAGATAATATAAAATAGCTATGCAAGTTTCCAAAGCTGGGGAATTGTGAATATGAGAGTGAGATTTTGAAGGGAAGGCCAGAACAATCAAGTCTATTTAACTTGCCTTATTTGAAGAATTCTGCTTTTAAAATGGATTGGTATATATTTCATTTTTTAAATTCATTGACTAAATTGCATTTGTTAATTTAATTTTTCAAATAAAAATTATAGTATGAGAATACCAACCTTTATACTTACCTGTCTATAAAAGAGGGATGATGGTAGTACTGTCTCATAGAGTTCTTGAGAAGTGAACACCTGAGGACATATTTGATATGTAAAAAATGTTAAATAAGTGCGTGTTATTTATGCATGACTTTTAAAATCTAGCTTATAGAAATGCTGTTGATTTGTGTACATTAATTTTTGTAACCTGAAACTTTACTGAATTTATCAATTCTATAAGCCTTTTGGTGAAGTCTTTAGGGTTTTCTAGGTATAAGATCAGCAAGCAGAGATAGCTTGGCCCCTTATTTCCCAATTTGGATGGGAAATTGAGAATGTTTTCTTTCTCTTACCTGATTGCTCTGGCTAGGGCTTCAGTACTGTGCTGAATAAAAGTAGTGACAGTGGGCATTCTTGTCTTGTTCCAGTTCTTAGGGGGAATGCTTTCAACTTTTCCTTGTTCAGTATGATGTTGACCATGAGTTTGTCATATATGGCTTTTATAATTTTGAGGGATGTTCCTTCTGTGCCTAGTTTGTTGAGGGTTTTTATCTTCCAGGGGTGCCCAATTTTATTGAATGCTTTTTCTACCTCTAATAAGATGATCATATGGTTGTGCTTTTTTCTTCTGTTTATGTGGTAAATCACATTTATTAATTTGTGTATGTATATTGAACCATCCTTGCATCCCTCAGATGAATTCCACTTGATCATGGTAGATTATCTTTTTGATGTGCTGTTGAATTTGGTTTGCTAGTATTTTGTTGACTATTTTTGCATCTATGTTCATAAGCAATATTCATCTGTAGGTTTCTTTTTTTGTTGTGTCATTTCCTGGCTTTGGTATCAGGGTGATACTGACTTCATAGGATGAGTTAGGGAGGATTTTCTCTCTATGTGGAACAGTTCAGTAGAATGGGTACCAATTCTTTTTTGTAGGTGTGGTGGTGGAATTTGGCTGTGAATCTGTCTTGTCCAGGGCTTTTTTTTTTTAATTGGAGCGTTTTTTATTAAGATTTTAATCTCATTACTTGTTATTGGTCTGTTCAGGGTTTCTGTTTGTTCCTGATTCAAACTTGGAAGATTGTGTGTTCTTAAAAATTTATCCATTTCCTCTAAATTTTCTAGCTTGTGTGCATAGCGATTTTCATAGTATTCATGTATGATATTTTGTATTTCTGTGGTATCAGTTGTAATATCTCATTTTTCATTTCTGATTAAGCTTATTTGGGTCCTTTCTTTTCTATTTCTGGTTAATCTAGCTAAAGGAGTATTGATTTTGTTTATCTTTTCAAAGAACCAACTTTTTGTTTTGTTGATTCTTTGTTCCTTTTTTGGTTTCCAATTTGTTTAGGTCTTCTCTGAGATTTGTTATTTCTTCCGATAGCTTTTGGATTTGGTTCATTCTTCTTTTTATAGTTCTGGAGGTGTGAGTTTAGATTGTTAATTTGTGATCTTTCTGTCTTTTTGATGTAAACAGTTAAGGCGATGAACTTCCCTGTAACAGGGAAGTTACTGTATCCTACAGGTTTCCAATGCTTGTGTCATGATTGTTGTTCAGTTTGAAAAATCTTTTGATTTCCATCTTAATTGCCAAGGACCACCTCTCTTCATGATTGCAACCACTTTTTTGTTGCTTCTACCGTTTTCTTCTTGCCACTCATGGCAACATATATAACTAAAACTGATTTAGATTAGTTTTGAAAAGTATAATTACAGTCGATTTTCATTATTCTCAGTAGTCATATTCTAGAAAGTTGCTGCAAGCAATAACTTTTAATAGAAAATACTGAACCATTGTTCCCAAGGGAAATACAAGATTAGGGCCCTACAAAGACAGGTCACTACATTTTCATCAACTGATCAGTATATAACCTTGTTTTACATGTGTTTCTGTTAAAAAAAAAACACCTTATTTAATATACATTGAACTCACGATCAAAAACACTATAACTTACACCTAAATGAAGCTTATCTAACCTATATATTTTCTCTGTAAGACACATCACAGCTTCCTTGTGCTTAGGAAGACTAGATAGCACTTCAGCATTGCACTTCAGGGCCTTTTTAAACGGCAAAATCAACTGAAAGCACAAAAATGTGCCATTCAACCACGAAAACGATACTTGTTTACAGTATGAGAACTAAAATAAGAAGTCAGAATGTTGCCTTGTTCATGTCCAGTGAATGAGTGAAAAAGTGCCATTGCATATTGATTTTTGGGGTTACAAATAAATTTTAGCAAGTAGGTGTGAGGATCAAGTGCATAAATTTTGTTTTGGTTTCCTGTGATACCCAACTTAATAGCTTACTTAATGGGTGTTTTTATGGTAATAATGAATTTTATGTTGATATAAACTATTTTAATAAATAAGTTTTTACTTAATGTTCATTAAGTAATTATCTCCCCATATACCTTATATTTATTCAGTGCTTTTTGGTTTATAGTTTCTTCAGTTATTTTACTTAGTTCTCAGAATAATTCTTTGAGATTAAAAAAACCCACACAAATCTTAATGCTATTTTCTAACTGATGGAAAGATTGAGGCTCAGAGAACATGTATATTTTGCTCAAAGTCACAGAGTTAGGTGTTAATAATTACCAAGAGTTTGTTGTAGGCCCCAGCTTTCTGACCTGATTCAGTGTATCTTCAGATGTCCTTATATTCTGCATGTAATTTTAAGTTTGTAAAACATCCTGGAAATCAATTTGGCAACCCATAGAAAGAAATTTTAAAATATCCTTGATCTCTTAATGATATATAAATAATCATGTGATCAAAGATTTATTTGCAAGGATATTTCTCATAATGTTATTTATAATAGGGAAAAAATGGACACAATCTGAATATCCAGCCTCAGTAGGGGGATAGTTTTATCAGTTGTGCTATATATGTAATGGTATTAAATAACCACTAAAATGGTTTTCTAAGACTTAATAAGATGGGCTCATATGTAAGATAGTATGAATTAAAAAAATACTAAATTATATTTACAGAGTGGTTCTAATTTTAAATTGCACAAAGGAAAAGAGCCGGAAATGAGTATGTGTAATTTCAGCAGTGGTTATCTCTGGGTATTGGGTTAATGAGTGATTTTGCTTCTTATCTGTTTATTTGAAAATTTTTTTCACTGGCCATGTTTCTTTTGTAATAATTAAACAACTCTAGAATCCACTGACATAGCCAGTATAGTCAGTGGTTTATTGCAGCAGTCCCCAACCTTTTTGATA